ATTAATTATATTAATTAGTGGAAAATAGATTGCCCTTTTCAAAAGAGCTGATTTACCACTCTGTTCCCATTGATTTTTCAAAGCCTTAGGTCCCTAGTGATGGCTGCACAAAGAAGTTAAAGTCTGTCTCTCTCTGTGTCATCTGTATTGGTACTTGTTGAATTTTCTGCTCAAGAATTTTGTCAAGGTTGTGATATAAATAGCCTGAAAAGTCTGGAGAATCCTACAGTTCTCAAGCAAACCCTGTAGGGTCCCATCTTTCCACCTCAGTTCTTGCAGTGTGGATTAAAATCAAACTCTGAGCAAGATTTCATCTACAGAAGCTCTCTCAGGATCCCCAGCCAGGCATCCAGGATCTTTGGCAATGGGCACATCTCCATGGTGAGCTTGTGGTGGTAGAGACTTGTTCACTTTCAGCTCGAACATGGAGCCTGCTCTACCTCCACACTAGACAGATGCTTGTAGAGCACTTTGTAAGTTCAGAAGCTACATGACTGGGGTGACTGCCACTGAAACCTGGTGCTCTTGTAACCTTTCTATGACTATTACCACATGCCTGGGCACCAGGGCTGCCTGGTCCTTCTGTTGTCTGAGTCTGGCTGTTGCCCCTTCCAAAACCTATGTTTTGTAATGTCCTTATTTTCCATGCTCTAAATCCAGAGAGATGCACTTCACTGGTGTGTTACAGTCACACACACACAGCAGTGGGCTGCTGGTGAAGCAGGCTGAGCAGAAGCAGTGTGTGGCAGGACTTGCTAACAGGGATGGTGTTTCTTGGATTGCCATGGATAATTAAGTGGGATGTCTCCAAGGATTCTCTATCTCTCTAATTTTCCCTGTGAGCAGATAAACAGTTCAAACTATGGCATGCTCATGGCACTGTTATGCAAATCAGACTAAAATAGGACTGCTGATGGAGGAGCTGAACCCACAGTGTGATATGACTTCTTCTTCCCTAACTGATAGTACAGAGGCCTTTTCACCTGGATTTAGATGCCTGAATGCACTTAAAATTGATCCAAATCCCTCCTGCATAGAGAAATTCAGCAGATAATGCATGAACCTGGTGCTTTTTATGAACGTGATGTTGTCTCTGATACTGCATCTCTGCAGCCAGAGAGGCCTCCAAGTCACACGGAGGGACCTGCTGTCCATCCTACACAGATGTTTCTGCTCTGAAGCTTCCTTTGTGTTCCAAGGAGCTCAACATTTTACATGAGCCCACCCTACGACCTACACTGTCAGCAGAGATAAGCAGAGGACTCCATGAAGCCCTCTGTACCACCCTCTTGTTTTCCATACTGATCCACTGCTAGGAAGCCACTTACAGTCCCAAGCATCCCATGACAACCCGTAACACCAACTACTTCCCTCTGTGCTCCCAGCTCTGGTTCTGGATCTGCACTCCAGGAAAGGAGATGATTTGCAGGGAATCATAATCACTGTTGGTTTGTTCTTTTCTAGATGTGGACGAGTGTGGCGCAATCTCTGGCGTGTGCGATGGTGGGGAGTGCACTAACACAGCAGGCAGCTACGTGTGCACGTGTCCACGTGGGTTCATGACCAGCCCTGATGGATCACGCTGCATTGGTAAGATGCTAAATAGATCTGAGGACCACAGATACAGGGAGACATCACACCCTGAACCCCAGAGAGGAGGATTTGCAAATCACAATCTGGTGATGTGTTGCAGATCAGAGGACACGTTGCTCTTTTCCATGTGCTGTCCCTGCATGTGCCTGTTCTGGTGGTCTGTTCTGGTCACAGGTTTTGATGCTGCTACAGGCCAGGGCTTTCTCCCCCTCCATAATTTGGACTGCAGCTGCCTCGGTGCTTGAGGTGTTTGAAAAGGGGTTGCTGAAGACACTGAGGAGGAGGGTTGGGGTGGAGGGTGTCTGGTTGAGGAAGGATCCTTGTGCTTCTACTCACAGAACTGCACCAGCTAGTGGGAGAATCCCAGATGCTACCCCTTTTCCCAGGTGTCAGCCAGGGCAAAACAGCAGTACTTCCACTACAACTTGTGTCTTCTTGTGCAGTGCATAAATCCAAGGGAAGCCTTGCAAAGAGGAGCCCAGTGGTGGGAAACATCCCACAACTGCACATTCGTCTGCTTGCCTTGCAGAGGTGAAGTGGGGAAAGGTTTACTCCAAGTGTTTGCATAACCAATGCAAACAAACAGTGACTTTTAGCATCTCCTCCTCTTTCCTGCTTAGACCACAGGTAATAGCTCATAAATCCCAACTGCCTCAAGCTAATAATCAACAGGCTGTGGACTCAATTGCCTTCATCTCACTGAACTCAGCCTTTTGGGAATGAGTTGCTTTGCACTGAGCTGCTGGCCTGGATCCCCTCTGTACCCAGTGGAAAGAAAGAGATGCTTCCCAAGAACAGCAAAGGGCACTACTGACACCTATTCCTGCACCCATGTTCAACCTGCAGGTCTACAAGGCCATCATTAAGCTTTTGCGCATTACAGTCCCCAGATGCTGGAAGACCTTGGTGCAGCTGGTGTGTGCTGCTCCACTGGCTCTGACGTTCCTTCCACCCCTGTTTGGCTCAAGGTGTCTGGATTTCAAAGCTTCCCAGAACTGGTGTGAGTCCAGACAAGCTTTCCCCACAATGACAAGCTGTCCTGCCTCCAGACTACAGAGCCTGGAGTGAATCTTGCGTGTTTAACAGATCAAAATGTCTTTCCAAGCCTTGTGAATATTTGATGGTCCATTTCTCTCTGTTACAGACAACAGCTTCTATGATGAATAGATCAGCTCTCTGTTTACTTGCTCTCAGCAGGGGCACTTACTTTAGACAAAATGAATCCCAGGGTTTGTCTTGCTGTTCAGAAAGTTCATCTGCCTTTTGAAAGGCAAGGATGCACAGGTTTGTGAAGAGAAACTGTTACAGGATCAATGTTAGTGCAATGGCAAATGTCAGGTACAGCTTTCTGTTGAGTCCTGGAAATGAATACAGGAAAAAAAACCCTTTCCAAATTCTTTTCTATCCACAGAAACTGGAGTAAAAATTATTCATGTTCTAGTTGCGGAAAGAAAACTGGTGTCAAGTCTAACATAAGAGTCACCTCGTTTGGGAATCTGATAGACTTTAATGAGAATGAAAGGCTTTTCCTCCCTTGGTTGCCAGACCCTGCCATCCGCCTGGAGGGGTGTGACGGCTGCTGCATGAGTCATATGGACATTTCTCCACTTTCCTTGAAACCAAGAGCTTCAAGAAATGAAAACGAAGTAAAATTAGAAAGTCCAGATTTAAAAATAGTCATAGAATCATAGAGTCATAGAATAGTTGGGGTTGGAAAGGACCAAAGCTTATTTAGCTGCACTGGACTATGACTGCAGCTGAACTCAATACATCATGCTCCAGCCATTTCCCTCAGCTAATACATGCTGCTGCTGTGCTGTCATATTTTGGGACAAACAATGTTTATTCTGGCATACAACACAGTTACTCTTGGGGTGTTGTTGCCCTGGGATCCATATTTTGCAAGCCCTGTTTTGTTTCTATCGTTTGAGGGTGGTTTAGTGCTTGATTTTGGGAGTTTATGGTAGTTTAAGTCCTCGATTGACATCCTCTGAAATAAATCACAGAAATAGTTTGTAAAACTGAAAATGAATAAATAACATGGATGAACAGCATCAAGAGAGAGCTGAAGAGATGGTCACACTGCCACCTCTCAGATGTTTACACTGGACGTGACCACAGCATCTCATATATCATGGGGCACCAGCACTGGCTAGGTGGTGACTTTATGATGGCAGCCTTCATACATTCCCATCCCTTTCCCCTCCCTATTTAGTAAAGTAAACACCTTTTTATTGCATGTGAACAATCTCCTGTAGTTTCTGCAGCTGAAATAGCAAGACACCGAGCTTGAGTTGAGCCCAACTCTCATTAGGTGCTTTCAGTGTGAAACGTGAACAGCAGCAAAGCTGGAGAAAGTCCATCAGAGTTTGAAATGAACATGGAAGTGTTTAAAAAGTGCGTAGATGAGGCCCTCAGTGATATGGTTTAGTGGTGGTCTTGGCAGTCCTGGGATAATGGTTGGACTTGATGATCTTAAAGTTCTTTTCCAACCTAGTTGATGCTATGATTCTATGCTATGCTTCAATGTGATTTATTGACTGATTCAACCACTTGTGCTTGACACAAGGAATCCAGTTCCACACGTGTTCAGATCAGTTTCATTCAGCCAGGCTTGTCAAAGGCAGGCTCAGAGTCGTGCAGAAGCTCCAGGAGGCTGGGAGTTGGGTTTTCCCTTTTCAGTACAATGTGTTGCTTTTCAAGAACAGCTTAAGAAAACTGCCTTGCAGATGCATTTCCAGACATGCACATGGTGTTCCCCTGTTTGTGGCAAGTCAGCACTCCTGCGCATTGCTTTCTTTGCTCTTTTTCCCTGATGGTGCAGCAAATGCTCTGAAAGATTTGGGTCTTACCTCTTCTTAAGCAACATCAGCAGATTTACTGCCTAAAGTTCCGGGTAGGGCCAGATCTTGCTTATAGTTGCAAAGTCTGGGGCTCAGAGAAGGTTGTGAGGGTGTCACTGAGGAATTCACCTGCCTGGGGACACCCTTTTACCCACTTTGGTTGTTATCTAGGGAAGGAAATAGCAAGAGGAATAAGGAAATACGAGGAGGTATTTCTGAGGGCAAGAAATGACAAAGGGACGTGGGGCGAGGGTCACAAGCTCAAAGCAGGTTGATAAGGAGCTGGGCCCCTGAGCAGAGCTCCCTGGTAGCTCCCAAGGCATTGAGGGATGTGGGAGCTGTGCACAGAGGGATGCTTTGTGCTTTGTACCTTGGTTCTGGTTCTTGGTTCTCTTCACTGAGACAGACACCACTATCTAATCTTACCCAGACAAGAATGAAATTGGTCAGTTTTCCAAGACAGGGAACACATGATGGCATCATCAGTCTAGACAGACTGTTCTCACCACAGTATAAGGCTCTTTTTTGCACCCTTCTTCCTTGCAAACCAAGTACCATTGGGCATCTTGGGTGGGAGACCTTTGTCTACATGCTGCTGTGTGGCAGCTCCATTCTGAGCTAATAGCCCTCAAGTCCTTTGTAGACAAAGCCAACTGCCTTTTGCAACCACCAGTTTGGGTTTGGTCACTTGAGCTTCTCGGTTTCTGTGCCTGACAAGGCACAGAATGAGAGAGATATACACCCTTTGAAGGTCTCTCCCGGGAAGCAGAACCAGGACTTTCCATTCCTCCGTCTCTCCCTGTCCCTACCCCACCACCAAGCAAAGAAAACAGGATGAAAACTGCAAAATCCTTTGCAGGTGCACAACCTGTCTTAGACACCTTGGGCACAGATGACGTACAGTTCTGGTGTCCCCAACATCAGAAGGACATGGAGTTGTTGGAGCAAGTCCGGAGGAGGCCACAAAGATGATCAGGGGCTGGAGCACCTCCTGTATGAAGACAGGCTGAGAACATTGGGGCTGTTCAGCTGGAGAAGAGAAGCTCCTGGAGGCTTCAGAGCAGCTTCCAGTGTCTGAAGGGGACTACAAGGATGCTGGAGAGGGACCTTCATCAGGGACTGTAGCGATAGGACAAAGGGTGATGGGTTCAAACTGAAACAGGGGAGATTCAGGATAGATATAAGGCAGAAGCTCTTCCCTGGGAGGGTGCTGAGGCGCTGGCACAGGGTGCCCAGAGGAGCTGTGGCTGGCCCCTCCCCTGGCG